ATATGTTGTCATTCTTACACTATAATACTGAACTTTGATTTCAGTGATTTGGACTATGAGATGGACACTTGCTTTTTGCACTCTATGTTGCACTTTACTTTTGCTTTAAAAAAAGGACTTCATTAGGTTTAATGAAAATATTCTTAAGTAAAATTGTTGATTTTTTTTTGTGGGAAATGAATCGCTTGGATTAATCGATAAATTAGTCGATAGATTAATCGAAATAAAAATAGTCGTTAGTGGCAGCCCTAGAATAATTAATGGCAAATTTTTCATTTTGGGGTGAACTATTCCTTTAATGCACTGCCGTAGCCCTTCATATTCATGGTTAAAAAGTGGCTGAGTTATTGTCTTGTGTTGCATAGAAAGTTATGAATGATATGAGATTTTTTATCTTCAAAACAAAAGATAAGCTTTATATGAGCCCATGGAAAGTGCTGAACTGTTCTCTGTTTCATTGGCACTTGATCCCTTTCCAAACTTGCTGACCAAAAAAAGAGCTTCTGAGGTATTTTCACTCCTGATCCCTTTTTCTCTCACGATGCAGTCTTGAAGAGCTAATATTAAGTCCTACTGAAGGAAACTGTCTGTTTCATTCAAAGCAAAAAGTTCATCTTTAGAGAACATTCTTTTGATGTTGAAAGTTTCATATCCAGTAACTAAGTGATTGATGACAGTTCAGATGAACCGCCAACACACACTGTTTCTTTAGATTTTTCCTTCTCTCTCTTCTAACATACTTTCGATCAAGCTGGTTTTTGACAGCTATTCCCAATACTTCCTGTCAGTGTCATCCCATCAATGTTTCCCGGTCAGGAAAACTGATGTTGGTTTCTTCTCGTTCTGGAACTCAACCTGTCGTTTGGACTGCTAGCTTGATACTCTGTCTTTCTAACGCTGCTTCAAGCATGGATCAATCCCACAATCCCCTCTGCTCCAATTACTCTCAGAGCCCTCTGCTTCGTTTCACCTCAGCCAATCAGAAATAAACCAGTTTGTGTACACACACACACACACACACACACGTTTTGCTCTCTGAAGCCTCAGTGGTTAGGAGACAAGGCTGGTCTCAGGAGTATAGTCTTACCTCTGAAGATCTTTGTGGAGGAGAGAAAGAAGGAGAGTGCAAGGAAAGGAAAACAAAGGAGAGGGGGAAGGGAGGTAAATAAAGAGTTCAGGGTAATAGAGAATATTAAATAATTTATGAGATACACACAGCAACAAACTGTTGTTGATGATGATTGTTTATGGAGAGAGATGTGGGTCGCTTCCTAGTAGATTTAATTGTCTCTTTGTGTGGGGGTAAATGTGGGTTTATGTCAAGAGAGCATCACCAGCATCACATTTAACAAGAGGTCAAAAATTGACCATGTGTGTTAGTTAATTACTAAACTGATTAAAAGGGAGAGTTCACCCAAAATTTTTTAATTTATTCACCCCTATGTCATTCCAGTTCTATGTTTGTTTCTCTTTTCTATGTAACACAAAATTAGATGTTAAGCAGAATGACCAAGCTGCGCTTTTTCCATACAAAAGGAGTATGGAAGTATGGCACGCATGCCAGTTTTTTCTGCACACAACAACATTAGCGAGCTGTGATGTCTGATTCAATGACTGAACCGGTAATTTTAAATGAGTCAGACAAAATCATAAAACAGCCTCAAACTTGCTCGAATTAGCTGTTTGAATCAGATTCACTTAGTGAACTGTTCAGAGAGTTCACAAGTGACTCCTTTACGGAACCACACTGTAATTGTTTTTTTTTTTGTTTTTTTACTTTTTTTTAATGTTTTTTATTATTTGAAATTGTAAATAAAACAACGTACGTTTTAGGGAGGAAAAAATATTTCCGTCATTAATCTTCAAATTTTTTTATTTTTACAATTTTAAAATTAAAAAGTTTCTAAACAATTTCAGTTCACTTCAGTCTGTTTGTTCACTAGTTGTTAATACGACAATGTGTAATTAAAGATACATATTCACAACGGATATATACGCTTCACCTTCCCCAGCTCCACCTGTATAGATCTGCTATGGTATAATTTCATGCATGTTAACATGAGGGTTATTTCATATGTTATATGTGCACCAGCAGTATTTCTTACATGCTCACAGCAGCAGGTTTGTGGATGTATTGGCAGTAACAAGTCTCAGCAAATGCAGCAGCAGTATAGCAGATCTATTCTATCAAGACCAAACACGTTAACATTGCCATGTATATTACCATGCTAAACTTTCTGAGAGTTGTCATGACAGAAATATAATTAAATATATAAATAATATAATTTATATGAATAATGTACACTAAAAAGTATTGTACAAAAAAAAATTGGTTGTTGAGCTCCAGTTGTAACAAATTTATACTAAATACAACTAGAAAACATCCTAGTTTATATAAATGCCTAATTCTTTTATGAAACTATAGATGGCGCAGGCTAATGGGTTCTTAACGTAATTGATGATATTCACAGCGTTAAATGACTTGGCACAAGCTGATTGGTTCATGTTGCATACGCAGCCAATGAGCTTGCTGCTTTACATTTAAATGGCTGGTTAGCATCCACTTAAGCATTTTGCAGTGCGCTTTCAGAGTTCCTCTGAAACCCTCCTCCTTCCCCAGCTCCACCTGTATAGATCTGTTACGGGTTTTTTTATATGCTATTTTTGCAGCAGCTGTATGTCTTAAATACTCACAGCACGTATCGCTGTATGCATTGGCAGTAGCAAGTTCCTGTACTTGCTTGCAGCAGCAGCAATAATCTACAACTACAGCAGTAACCAATAGCAGCAGCGTAGCTGATCTATTCGTCCAAGACCAGATCCATTACCATGCTAAAATCTTCCAAGAGTTGTCATGATAGAACTGAAGCCGTTTTAATCTGTACTCTAATGCCTTACCTAACCTACTATACTAAACCTTCATCACAGCCAGATGCACAGCAACCCAATTTTTAGGTGTATGCTGCAAAACATCATTGGGGTGTGTAAATAATGACAGAATTTTCATTTTTATGTGATGTATTCCTTGGAGATCAGCAGATGAAGAGTGTTCTGTGCACGTCTCTCTCCAGCTGACATGAAGGAATGAGTAGTGGAACTGTTCCCAGATCAGATCTGCTTTGTAGCAAACACTAATTAACGTCAGTTCAGACCAACACAGGCTTCATCTTAGATGAGATCTCCCACTCTAATTACAGCTGTAAACATGTTGGATTTTCCAATGATATGCTTGCTGTCGCCCATCGCTGTTTATTATGGATGCGGAACGTGTTGAATTAATGTGACACAAGTGGTATTGGCATCTTAAATGGCTTCATTCTTCACACATGCATGCAAGCACACATAACTTCCTCTATGATCTGGTACCTTTCTGACTTTTTTTCTTAGCAAGTTAACAGATATTGAAATGTGTGGCAGAGATTTTGTAAACTCTATTTTAGATTATTAAGAGATAATTAACAGTTTGAAGAAGGCACTAATTATTTTGTCAGAGCACTAATCAGTTTCTGTGCGCACTAACAATAACCGACAGCTCAGTTAATGACACCTGTAGTGATCAGATCACATAAACACTTTGCTCAAACAACACATGCTGAACAGCAAGCCTGTGTTCATTCACATACCTTAATGAGTAATTAATGCCTTTATGCAATATGTATGTCTCATATCATGCAGAATATTTTGAGGACATTTTTTTCTGACCCAGTTCGGACCTTTTAAGTCTTGTTTACTGTGATTTATTTTCTTAAGTTTTAAGTTTAAATTGCAGTGGTCTGAAATGAAGTTTATTTCCACTGAATTAGGAGTAATATTATAGAAAATTTGCTGTATGACCTCTATTATTGCTATATTATTGCTGCTGTCTTCACACTTTGCAGACTCAAATTATGTTGTTGAGGTTCAAACATCTATTATTCTTTGATCCTCGAAACTGCTGTGTCCTGTACACCTCTTTAAGGCTGCCTACGGAGTCTGTTGTCTCAGCATACTGTCTGTGAATAGGACCAGAACACGTGTCCTCATATTACACCTGCAATTTAGGCAGTGATAACACTTGCTTTGTGGTTGCCATAAATAAACCCATTCGGTTATCTTGTCTTGTTTTCAAGATAAACGTTTATGTGTGTTTTGAAAGTGTGTGTGTACACGAGAGGCACTTGTGTCAACTGGTTGGTTTGTGTTCCTGTCTCAGGTCTCATCTGATGCCCAGGCTGAAGGAGTCGCGCTCTCACGAGTCTTTGCTCAGTCCCAGCAGTGCAGTAGAAGCTCTGGACCTCAGCATGGAGGAGGAGGTCCTTATTAAACCAGTGCACAGCTCCATCCTCGGGCAAGATTACTGCTTTGAGGTATAGACACCTCTTTCACTTGCTTTACATTATTTACATTAATAAGTTCATTGATCTGATCTCTCTCAACCCTAGGTACATGTTAATTTAAATTTAATATTACAGTATATCATCATTCATAAGACAGTGGTTTTAACCAGGCAAGTTTCCAGCAAAAAGCAGTTTGTCTGATTATATAGATTTCCATTTAATCGTGATCTTAATTGAACAGTCCCAAAATCGATTTTTTTAAATCCCAGTTTCGATTTTGAATGAATAATTTGAATTTTAGTAGAGAAGAATTTTAAAAAAAAAGAGAGAATGAATTGTGTACAAAATGGCTATTATAACTGAAATGTATACAAATTATTTAAAATTTAATTAAAACCAGAATCAAATCAAGAGATTATAGATTAAGACAGAATTTAATCAAATTCAGAATCATATCAATTCAAGAGCGTGTGGATTAAACCAGAATATAATAAAATTCAGAATCAAATCAAATTAAGGAATTTAATCAAACCTGGGAAATCAGAATTTATTCAGTTTGGTTCAATTTTGATTCTCTTTTTTATAGCTTCTTTTATAGCTTGTGATTCATGGTCAGAACATGTGTGATTGTCTATATCCAGATTTCTGAACATGTTTTTTTAAATGCTGTATTTGTACCCAAAATATCTGTCAGTAAATGTGATTCAGTTTTGCATTTTGTAACATATATTCAAAGGACATTAAAACGTGGCACAGGTTTGCTTTTGATGTAAGTGAGCTGGAAGCCGTGAAATTGTTGCAGCAAGCTGACAATTATCAACCTTTTTTCCCAGGTGAGCACCTCCACAGGTAGTAAGTGCTTTTCCTGTCGTTCGGCCGCAGAGAGAGACAAATGGATGGAGAACCTGCGACGGGCCATCCACCCTAATAAGGTAAACTCGCCTTTCTGCAGAGTTGCTATTATTCCTGCATAGGCTAAAATCATACTTGATGCTCTGATTTATTACTGAAGAAATGCGACTCAATGCAAATAAAAAAGAGACATCAAATAATGTTTCTGCATCTGTAAGAATGATGAAATTCAGGGCCGTTTTTTCCATCGCTCTTTGATATAAGCACATGAGACGCAGGAAAGCAAAACATATGGCTGCTTTGAGATCTCACCCGACAGCTCATTTCACCAATCAATGATTAAGCAAATTAATGGTTAATTAGATTGGAACAAAAATTCAAGCACAACCTTCAAGTTATATTTGCCTTCTTCACAGCTTGCCTGGGGATGTGTTTAATGTCTCCCCATCGCTCAGTCTTACATTTTAATTACTCAGTGGGTTTCTGAGGTGAACACCAGAGCCAGGCTTTACAGAGCTTTGCTGTGAACAGATGATGCTTTCAGACAGATGTTGAT